TATTAGGATATTAAACAGTTGCAACAAATCAAAAGAAAGACAGACTGAGAATAGTCACAGCCAGCAATTAGGATCTCAGCAGTCATTCCAATTGGCCCCTCTTCTGCGGGGGAGGTGCAGGGTGAAATCTCTGAACACTGATCACTATACTATAGTAAAAAATTAGAGTAAGAGACAGAGAGTAAGCATGGTTACTTTTATGGTCCATTACACATCCAGGCATAAATGACTGCCTTTTATTTATATGGGGGATAACTGCCAAAGAGTCACTGAGATCAGACAAAGGGAGCCAGCGGCATCACCATTTTGGCCAGCGTTCTCCATCTAAAGTGTCAAGTTCTGACTCCATATTAGGCTTCTAATTGGGAGGTCTGATTTCAGAGCTCCTGAACCCATAGCTCTGAATAAAATGAACGTTTAGCTTCCACTGAACTTGCATGAGAGGATTTTGATAGCAGCCATCAGTTCTTAGCAGTTCTGAAAAATCAGGCTCTTCATTTAATTGCCTAAATATGGCTCCAGGAATCTACTTTTAGCCACCACCATCTGAAAAGTTTGGCTGAGGTGATTTCCAGTAGGTCACACAATAAATGTGTAGCTTTACCTCACTTCTTAGCCACAACGGCTTCTTCCATTTGTTTCATACTGTTTTTACCCAAACCCAAGGTGACTTTGAATTTAAGACAACCTTCCAATACGTTTTCCATATATAGAATCTAAAAAGATTGTTAAATTTTCCATGGATAGAAATTCTGCAATTATGGGAGAGTTGTTTTAAATTCATTTCCCCACTACTACAGTGGGGAAAACAGCAGCAGGGAGGCAGGCCCCTCACCTGACCATACAGCAGTGCAGCAATATGTCCTAGATAGACTCGAGAGTTCACGTGCTTCATGTCCCAGGAGGCAATGGAAAAGGATCCATGGGGAGGACAGCAGCTGTGGGGGACAGGCAAGGGGGCAGGTGGCTGCTGCAGTTCTAACTGGCTCTAATCTGGGATTGGGGCCAGAGTTGGAAGCGAAGAAGGTGCCTGCCCCAACTCCTTGCCTTGTATTTGAATACAAGTCTAGGGACTGTCCCCCATGTTGAATGGGGGGAAAAGAAACCTCATCTTGGAATCAAGTAAATCAGTACTTTCCCGGTAGTGATATAATATGGTACTGGATGCCTAAAAATAAATAATACTGTTATAAATTGGGTTTATTATTGCAGTAGAGATGGTTTCAATTTACCATGCCAGGTAGGATGCAAGTGTTTATGGCTGAATCACTTAAACACTTAAAGATTCTTAACAATATGGCAAGTAGGTATATTCTGATAAGGTACGAGGCTCCTATGATACAGCTAACTAAAAATGGGTCACTTATTCCTCATCAAACTACAGTTTTCATACACTTCTGTATTTAAAGGATGGCTTGAAACTGCCCCTGACAAAGAAGTAACTTTTGAAAACATAGAAATAAAATTAGTTTAAAAGTGCCATTTTTAGTTGGCTATCAGAAAGCACCTATTTCCCTGTTCATTCATTATCATAAAAAACATTTCCAAGATGTTTTCTATTCTGGAGTAGAACAGAAGATAAGCTGTATAGCACTTAAATGTATTTATTACTTGTGAATAACAGAGGCTTCCCAAACACATCAGTACAACCTTTACATGACAAAGTCCCAACCCACAATAGGATCCTTAGAGGTAGACTTATGAACTCATTGGGTTTTCTGCAGACACACACACGTGCACAGACATCGTTCGTTTGGATGTCACTGCATGATTAGAGCCCAAGTCAAAGTGCTCACAAGGACACAATTCAGATTGTCATACAGTTTCCAGAAACATACATAAAGTGTATTTTATGAAAAACACCCTGAAATTAAAAGATTGAGCTTTATCTAGTAACCTTTTTGAAACATTTTAAATTAATAAAATTACCTGGATTTTGGTAAAATCTTAATGCCTGTAGCAGACTATATTATCTTATCTTATAGAAATTATGGCCTACAAAATACCTGCTACCTAGGTAGGTAGATGACTGCAGTATACCCTGCTACACCTTCTAACTGACACTATTCAGGCAGACCCCAGTGTTAAAGGAAAAAAAGGAAATATTCAACAAGATGAATAGCGAGGTTTTGCCAATGTTCAAAAGAACTCTGAAAAAGTTGGATACTGTTTTGAAAGAAGCTTCAAAAGCTTTAAAGACTGTTCCTTCTGTAAAGCCTGCATTCTGCTTGACTTGTGGTACATATTTTTAAAAATATCTGTAACTTCATGATGTTTGGTATCAGGACCTGATGACAAATATTTGCTGTGAGTAACTGCTACTCAAAAGCATTGAGTTGGCAGCACTAGGTTTGCTTGGATCTAAAAAAAACCCAGCAAAAAACAAACAAGTGTGATTTTTAAAAAAATGCCACTTCAGCCCTTTACAGATTACCAGTAGATTATCTGTGTAACATTTTTCAGATTGCAATTCAGAAAGAAAACAACGTTCAAAATTAAAAAATGAAAAAGCTTGGGGCTACTGAAGTCAACAGGATTTTTGTCACTGATTTCAAAGATGCTAGGATTTCATTCTAGATTAAATTAGTGTTTATGAGTGGTAATTTCAAAAAGCGTTCATCACTGGTTTAACTCTGATCCTATTAAAGTCAATATGAGTTATAACAGACTTCTGGGTGAGCAGGTTTCAACTGATATTCAGAATCTGAGTCCCATTCTTAGCACATTAACGGTACTTATACCAACACAATTTATCATATTCTATACCACGTATATGATGATCAAGCAGTATTCCTGAGACTCCCTACACTCTGAATTAGACTCGAATCTGAATATCCTTAATATTGATTGATTTCAAATTAACAATACAGATTACAATGTAACATGTTGTCCCCACCATTTAGAGTAACATATTTCAGTACTCTTCAGGCTGTTCTACCTGTTAACCCTCCACTGTTTCTAAATAATCCCTCAGCCTGGAACAGACCTCTAATTGTGCTGCAACTATAGACCACCAGAATAAGGGCAGTTCAAACTGTGGTATGGAGAAACGTCACATAGTAGAGAAGAGGTAATGTAAACTGGAGTTGCTATGATTCCTGATATCTACATTTGGGAGGTGTAAGTGGTTGATACTTGGGAGAGGTGGGAAGGCACATGCATCTGAACTGTCCAAATATTTCACTGGGGGGGGGAGAAAAACAACAGCAAAGAGTTCCTCATAGGTCTAAAGCAGAAAAAATCCATTAGTCACAAGAAACAGCTGCCTTAGTTGCTGCCAGTTAACCAAGTCTGCCACCAACTCATCAGGGCCATTAGTGTAACTTAAGTAGGCACACTCAAAGGGATATAGAGGGCACTATACCTAAATATAAAATACCAGTGAATACTAAGATGAAGCAAAGCAAGACTATTAAACCCACACTGCTTGGCAGTCCTACAACAGCATAATTCAGAAGGAACTTCTCTAAGCATAAGTTTGAACATGCAGAAGAGACAGTTAATCTTTGACAGATAAATGATTAGACGTCAGTTTAATCACTCTCATAGCAGAGTGAAATGAATTTACCTATAGCAAGGCTGTCAAACTTACCTAGCCCTGTGGGCCAGATCAAGGGTGTGGGGCTAATCTGTGGGTCGAATTGGGCACAGCGACCAGTCCCATGTGGTGGATCTGGCATCTTGGGTGGTTTGGTATCAGTGCCACATGCAGTGTGTGCCCTGCTTCCCACTGACAAATGTGAGGCATGTGGGCCTGGTCTAGGGCTTATGCTCCACATGACATGGAGGCTAGCATGGAGTGTGTGCTGCATGTGGTGCCCATGCCAAACTGGCCCTGTGTGCTGGTCTGTGGGCCCGATCTGGACCAGCTCTGATCCACTGTGCAAAGCTGGTCCTGAACAGGCACAGCACACAGACTACCCCAAAGCACTGCACGCAGTACATGTGCCAGCTCCAACCCCCATGCCTTGTGCAGCCCATGCCACATGGGCTCCATGCACCACATGTAGCATATCAAGTTAGGCTGGTGCATGCTGCATGCAGAGCTACTTGTCCAAGACCCACAGACAGTATGCAGGCAGGATGATAGAGTTGTGTGGGCCAGATCCGGCCCATAGGCTGTATCTTTTAACACCCCTGAGCTATAACAAACCACATCAGTAGCTCTGATCCACTCATGGCATTTGACTGTAGATGTGCAGCTAGATCAACATGTGAATTAAAGAATGTTTTAAGTAAAAAAAAAAAAAAGTTTAATTTTTTTAAAAACCATTTTAAAAAGAACCAAAGGGTTTCATTAAAAAAACAAAACAAAACAAACCTAAGATTGAAATACCTAAAAGGGGTATGAGGAGATAGGAACCAATTTAGAGCAACATTTTCAATAGTAAATGCCAAGGCTATATCTACAGATGTTGAGTGGGAACCTGCCCCATGTGTAATGGCCTACTTGCATATGCATACAAGTATGCCACCAGGATTGCTATATCTATTATCCAGTTTTCACATATACATGGATGTCATCTGTGCCACTAAGGCATTCACAATTCAAAATCTGACTCAACGTTAGTTATGGTAGAAAGGATGCAATGTTGCACCACCAAGCAAAATTTATTAACCATAAATTGACAGCACAGCAAAGGGGCAAGAAAAGTGCAAGGAGAAAGTAGAAGAAAAAAAACCCAACACCTTTCTGAAGTCTCTTGCAATGAGTTTTTCATAGGGAAGAAATGAAGGGAGTTGGGTAGAGGAGAGAAAAAATGTAAAAGGAAGGGGACAGAAAAAGGAGGATTGGCACACTTACCTCTGACATTTAATCACACTACAGAACAATATTACCAGGGCTGCACATATGGAGGAGAGAAAAAAAAGGGTGGAGAGGGAAGACTACCAGAACATTCAAGAAGGAAAAAGCACAGAAGGGGCAGAACTGCACCAGTCATGCTTATCCTAGGACCAGCTTACAACTAGGTAAATGAATAAGTGTAACTGCACCATACCTTTTCTTTGTCACTGGCTTCTCTAGCCACAGTAGAGCCCTGGAATAGAAAGAAGGGATCTAAACATGTACATGTAACAGGATATACATGTAAAACAATAAGAGGCCAGAAGTAGGCACAGGGTTGGGTAGGGTTGGCAAAACAGTATCCTTCTGCAATCTAAAGCTGGGCAGAGGGGTGGGGGGCAGGGGAAGGTAACCTCTGGGAGCAACGGCATTTTAATCTTCAGCTTTGCCCACAGTGGAGAAGACGCTATGTTTGCTGACAGAGTTGGTTTGAATGGTGTTTTAAAATGATTCTTGTTCAAACTAGTTAAACATGGTAGTACATTCTAACTAGCCTGCAAGAGACAAATGAAGATGTGCATGTTCTCCAGATACTGAACAGCTCAGAGCACAAACAGTCCTTAAGTGTTCAGGATAGACCTCACATCCTGCTGGAAAGTATGTATTACCCAAGTGACAGAGTGCTGTCCCATGCAGAGATGCCTGAACTCTTGTATCAGAAGCATGAGCACAGCACCACACTTGCATGACTATACTATTTCCAGTATCTATGCTAGCTTGTTTAGAGCTTGAGTTGGGTATGTTGTCTTACATGGTACTGCATTTTTTGGTGAAGACACAGCAGGGTATCTACAGCATGCACACAAAGGTCCACAACAACATCTGTATGGCACTGGCTATTCATTTGTTGCACTGTGCATAGAGTGTCTAGAAATGCCAAGGAATACACTAATGCTAGGGACCATAAGAGGAGAAAGCAGTGCTTTCCAATACCCAAAATGTCAGTGTTTTGGTTGATCTGTAGCAATGTTTGGGAGGCTGAACAGAGGGAACAGATATAAGAACAGTAGCCATTATCATTGTTACGGCTGCTTTACTGAGCAGGGACTGTGCTTCACTATCATAAACTACCTCAACAGCCTTGTGAATACAAGTTTTTAATGTACTTAATTAACCATATTTTTTTGTGATACATCACACACAATACTCCCTTCCATGTAAAAAAAAAAAAAAAA